TCAAGTGTAGCCACATAAAAATTTTGTAAAAATTGTACAACATCATGAATGACATCCCAAGTTCTAGATGTTGACAAACAGCTAGGATCGGTACAACGAGAATTAGCAACTTCAGTTATAGGCATTCTATATTTATAACAACATCTTAAGAATAAATAAGTATAATTCCACCTAGTAACTATTTCTTCAGGCATGAGTCTTCATTTTAGTCCATAGTGTAAATATTTTTCCTTAAATGCATTTAATCTAGCACTTCTATTATTTCCTTGAATTACACCAATAGCTCTCCTAACTGAAGTAATTTCATCTCTAAATAATTCAAGGTCACTCTTCACAATTAAGTTATAAATATGACATGCACAGCTAACATGAAATATTTCAGGAAGTGGTGGATGTAGATGCAATTTTAATATTGTAATTATTGTTAGAAGGATTATCAAATGACATACACAAAATTTTTTCTGCAAGATTATAAAATATAGCAACTTCATGGATAGTATTACTTATAAATGCACCAGTATGACTTTGATCTTCATCATATTTAAAAGAAATAATACATTATTGCATACAAAAATTATCATCTATCCAATGGCGTGTAACAATCAAATAATCATTTTCATTTACAGCACGACCAATATCAGAAGTAAGAGAAACTCTACAAGGAAGACTTGCGAATAAATAACGTATATATGTCTGATATTGTCCAAAAAGCCTAAAGATATCAGCTCTACAAGTACTTCTAGGAATACCTTTAAGCATAGGGTTATAAATTCTTTGAATATAAGTAACAAGATACGGTGAAGAAGCAAAACTAAAAGATAAACACCCTAAAATAATCATTTTAGCTAATTCTTCCCGATCTTTCTTAATATCGTATTTACCAAATAACCCCGCAGTACTCGGGTTAAGTTTTTGTTGCCCAGATTCCTCGTCTACTCCCTAATGAAGAGGTGTTTCTCTTCCATATGCCTATGAAGTTGACCCATTCCCCCTCCCTTACCGGGCTCATGTTTATAATGTTCATTACAAATTTTACATTTTACATAATTTTTTTGATCTTCTAGTCTTTCAAAAAACATCCAACACTTACTTGTTAATCGTCGATTCTTCTTAATAGGGAGAGGAGGCTTACTTGTTCCACCTCTAATATTTTGAGTTTGACTAGCATTACCAGGTGTAGGTGGTGGTGTTTCAAGATTATCGGGTGATTGAATATCATCTAAAATATCATCTAAATCATCATCTATACTATATTTTCTTGCATTCGCTCATAATCTACATTTAAATTTTTAGGTGAACTTTCAGAAATTTATGTAAAACTACTAGAAGAACCAACACCACCTCTTGATCTTTTGAAAGTTTTCTTACTATCACTTCTACTAGTGTACGCTTTTTTGGCTGCTCTAAGTAAATCCATTATGTAAATTAAATTAAGAAATTAAATTAATAATTCTAAATAATAAAATAAGTGTGCACCAAATAAGAAAAGGAGATGGAACGAGTGTACCGGAATTCCGAATGCTGCACTAATTTTGGTATAAAAAATCAAACGTTAATTGATGGACCGAAACTTGATAGTTGATAGTTAATAGTATTTGATACCACACTTCACTTGAATACTTGATATTTGATAATAATAATTTTGTAATGGCTAAACTAAATAATTGATGAAACTTGAAATAATAAGTAATTGAGAATTTGAGATTTGAGAATTTAAGAACAATAATATCAAGAGAGAATTGAGAGAGAATTAGAGTAGTAAGAGAGTGAATTGTGAGAAAAAATAAAGAAGAAGGGGGACTATTTATAGGTTTAAAAGGTTAAAAATATAATTTTTCAATTATTAGGGGTGGGAGGGCTATATTTTTAATGGGGGAGGACGAAATGGCCATTTCTGCAAAATCTGACCGTTCCCCAACGGTCATTTCTCAATACCGTTAGCAACAGTGCAAATAATTAAAAAAAATCTGTAATGGTAACCGGGCTGATAACGGGCTACAGCCCGGTAACAACCCGTTAATGGGTTACGGGCTTAGCGGGTACGGTGCACCGTTATCCAAAACATATTCGTCCAAAACCTAGCCCCCGACCAACCCGTCCTAGCCCACACATTAAGCAACAGTAACAGGCTAAATCGGGCTGACCCGGGTTGAAGCGGGATGAAAACGGGCCAACCTGGCCTGATTAACACCTATAGTAGCAATTAGTGTTTAACCAAACTTCTTAAAATTGCTTAGTAATGAAAATCTTAAACAAATAAAACTTCATCGGATTGATATCATGTTTGGCAAGCTTCTAAAATAAGCTTATTTTGAGAAGTATTTTTTTCTCAAAAGTGCTTTTCTTAAAAGTACTTTTGGTGTGAAACAGTTGGTGTTTGACAAAGTAATTTGAAAAGTACTTCTTAGTAGCAATGGGTTTCTGACCAACCTTTTAAAAACTGCTTCTAAGTGTATTTTTCTCAAAAGTGTTTTTAAAAAAATTATTTTTGGAGAGAATCTATTTTTTTCTGCTTCTCCTAAACTGCTTCTGTGTCTACTCAAAAGCACTTTTTCTTTTAAAAACTTGGGCAATCACTTTAACTTTGAAAAAAAACCTTGGAGAAGTTTGGCCAATTTTAAGATAATTTTGAAGCTGGAAGAATAATATACTAAAATAAAAATGAGAAGTTACTATATAATAAAATTAATGAAATATTAATGGGTTTGGGTGCATTAAAATTTGGACTCTCGACGTTATGCTCTTTTTTGTTGCAAAAATTTCCTAGGATGTCTTAATTAGGTGCCCTCATTTAACCTATATTCAATTTTTTTCTATAAAATTTAACTGGTATCATATGTTTAGGTAACTTCAGATACCTCTTTCTTCGTTGTTGTTGTGTTGTTTCTTCGATTCTTCTTCGTATTTTTCTTTCTTGTCTTAAAATTGAGATTCAAACTTCAAATTGGTGCTTGTAAACTATAGTGGAAAAATCAAAAGCCACCATTGCTGAACCTAGAGAAAGCATGCTTGATGGTGACCTCGGTGAAATCGAAAATGGACCTCTTGAGAATTAAATGAACTTCAGATTCGGTTCTGAAGTTGCATTGAAGAGAGAAGACCTTAAGATCTTAATTCTGAAGTTGCATTAAACAGACGGAAGAATTTCATATCCAATTCTGAAGTTGCATTGAAAAGATAGAAGAACTTCAGAGCCTCGATGCTGAAGCTGCATCGAAGAGATAGAAGAACTTCATATCTGATTCTGAAGTTGCATTGAGATATAGAAGAACTTCAAATCTGATTCCCAAACCCTAAATTTGTAACTTCGTATGCGAATTCTGAAGTGAACAGATATGAATTATGAAGTGTATTCCAAATTGGATAAATTTCAGTGCAATGCGCATATGAATTCAATAATAGACCCAAAATCGAGTATATCTGCACTTCCTGTTTTTATTTTTGGAAAAAAGCCCAAAAGGTTAATAAACTAAGATATCTAGAAATTGGAAAGAGAATAGTTTGTATGAGTGGAGTAGTGTAGTGGACTAACCTGCCTATTTCATTTCTGACTTAGTTACTGAATTTGGTTCGTTAGTATGGTGCAATTAAGCAATGTTATTTTTACAAGTAATTATCAAACGGCAAGTGCTATTTAAATCGAAAAATGTGATCAAATCCAGTGAAATAGTTCATATTTAACATGCTTTTATGCTTATTAATATATGTAATTCATGCTCGCTGACAAGTGAGGTCCTTGTATGGGGTAAAATTGCTCGATAGCAGAGTGACACATGGCACTAAAGATAGGTGGGGCGTGAGTCAACAAACAACCACTACTAAAAAACGGTTCTATTGAAACAATTATAGAATTATTATAATAGATTATCTTTTGGAACGGTTTTAATCGTTCCAATAGAGTGAAAAGGCTTTTGGTACACTTCTGAAGTAAAACCTTTCCACTAGGATAGTAACCGTCACCATAAATGAAGCTATGAAGACGATTTATAAAGGCGATACAATAGGGTTATTTATGGGAACGGTTTGCTGAAAGAAAATATTTTTTGGGACGATTTATTTTTCCCTCCCTATTTTCCCGCCTAAATATTTATTAAAAAAATAAAAATAAATGATGATCCCAATAAAATTTTATTACTAAGTGTTTTGGTAAGATAGAAAGGCAGAACCTTTCGTCTCTCTCATCAGCATCTCTTGGTCTCTCTCGTCTTTAGACCTAGAAAAATCCGCCATCGACGAATTGTGCGACCTACTCCGACAAAGGAATTCCTACGAAGGACAACCATTTCGGCTAATATGAGCGAATCTCAGATGTAGATTATCGGTGTTTTTCCGTGTCTGTGGTTGTTCGCTTTCGCTATTGTTTCGCCGCTTCTTCTGTTTTCTTTCTCTGGTAAGATTTCTGATAAACCCATCAATTTACTCTGTCCTTTGTTTGTATTATATGATAAATTTTTTGATTTCTAGTTTGTAACACTCTAATTATCTAGTTAGTTGGAAAAACAAGTGAAACTTTGTTTAGGTTTTTTGAGATATTTTCAGTTGGAAGTTTTGATCTGACTAACAGAAAGGATTTGAGCACCAACATACACGGTCTGTCGTGTTATACATCGGCAGACTATATGAGCATGGTGTTACATTAGGGCTTTCTTATAATCTATCGCCATTTGTTCGTTCGTTTCTTTATTTTTTTGCTTAGAATAATGAGCGACGTGTTTGATTTGGGATGTGTGTTTTGATTGCTGAGTTTATCCTCCAAAAAATTCTTTACAGAATGATATCCTTATTGTCGAGAATTCCCGGAAATATTTCTTTACTTATAGGATTACGCTGAGTATGTTTGGTTCAATATCTTTCGTGATAATGCCTACTCCTCTAAGAAGGCTTCTTATTAGCGGACGTATTTTTTAAGTGCATGTTGCATAATTATTTTATTTAAAGTTAAGTATTGAAGAAAAGTAGATTAAGCTGCTGTTAATCACCTCATTGTCGATGATTAGCTTTTGAATTCAGAAATGTAATTTTTATGTATATTAGTAGGGTGGATTTTGGCTGATTTCTGTATGTTATGTAATATTTTCACCTCAAATAAATCGCTTTTAGTAAAACGAAGAGTTAGTTTGTATGTTAAAGGGGGTAAAGGGATCACTAAAACATCACTGTTATTTGAATTTTATTTCCAATAGTCTGTTGTAATGTTGAGAACAGAAAGGGTTCTCTTTGATGTTTTAGTACTAGATTTCGTCATCTGACACACTTCAATAGATTTCCTTTCATATTTCATGAATTTGTTTTAGAGCCTGTCTACAGGATGAGTTTGATGGCATGACACTTGTTTAGAATATACATTTGAGTGTGTTTTTCATTTCATGTTCGATATTCCAGTCCAGAAAAAGAAAAGGTACTATGAGTTCGTCTACTCTGTTAATGGTGCATAAGCTTATTATTTTACTTTGTGTTGTTAATAAGCCTATGAGTTCTCCGGTAATATTGCTAATAAGCCTATTATTTTACTTTGTGTTGTTAGTATAATATAATACATTTTGTGATTTATGGTTTGCAAAATCGGGGGTTTAGTTGGTGGATTTTAATTTCGTATTAAAAACTATGAGATTTGCTTTATGTAGCTGTTTATGTGATGGTTTTGGTGACTGTAAAATTTTGCAACAATGAAATCCATATAATTTTGACAATAAGTGGCTTTTTTCTATCTTTCATATTATATAATTTTTTTATTAAGAATGTATAAACCAATTTATACTATTTGTTTTGGTGTCATATAGGATAAAAGTAATTTAATGGATAACGGAGATAAAATGTGGATGGGCCTTCGAAGCTATTTTAATCTGTTATAGTTCACAAGCTTAGTTTGTTTCATTCCAAGCTTTTATATTATCCATTGTCATTTCTAGTAACTAATCCGCCATCTCAAGAATTGGAGGCCATTGTATGCAGTAGTATAACTCTATAGTGCTGTGCCAAATTGCTAATATTCTGGTGCTTCTTTTGTTCTTCTGGTGCTTAAGCAAGCAGAATTGGTCTTTGAACAGACAAGACTTAAGACAAGAAATGAGACTTAAGACAAGATGATAGTCCTGGTGCTTCTTTTATTCTTCTTTCACTTTGTTGTTGTTGCATATATTCTGCTTGCTACTGTTGCTATTTTATCTTCTTTCACTACTTTTTCTTTGTCGTCACTGCTGCTTTTGTTTTAAATTTTGTTCTTGACCTTTGTTTTCACTTTTTCCCTTGGCTTTTCCTTGTCTTGCAATCTGAAATCATTACTTAGAAACCATCATATATGCATCTTTTCCAACTTACCATGTGAGGCCATAGTTTACTCTAAAACTATAATATGCAGCGGATTGCCATAATTTACTCTGAAACTATCATATGCATATCCTTAACTTATCATATGAAGTTGCACTTTATTTGGAATTTCTACTATTGTCATTTATATAATACCTAATAAAGATATTTTTATTTGTATTGTTCATCAGATTTGATAGACATGAGTCAAGAAAGACCTTCAAAACCCAAAAAAAAGACAAGCGCGACATACACAAAACCTGGAACAATGGCATCTTTGGCAAACCAAATAAGGACTTCGTTTAGCCAAAAATATGTTGTTCCCGCTAGACAATCAAACAAGGAGCAGCCAAATATTATTGAAGAGAATCTGCCACAATATCTAGGAGCAGTAGCCCATGTACAAACTAGATCAACCACCTCTGCAAAATATGTTGTTCCTGCTAGACAATCAAACAAAGAGCATTCGAATATCATCGAAGAGAATCTGCTAGTGCCACAATATTCAGGAGTAGTAGCCCATGTACAAACAAGATCAACCACTCCTGCAACACAAGTAATAGAGGAACAAGTTCAGTTGGATTCTACAACTCCTATCAAAGATGAACAATGTGAAGAACAAGGTAAGAACATATAGACTTTATCTGAAAATATTTACATCCTATTTTAGTCATAAAATATGTATTAATAATAGTGATTTGGTAGTTTTCTTTGGTTCAAATAGTTGAAGGCCCTTCTAATCAAACAAAAAAAAGAGGTAAAACAAAGATGAAAAGTATACATGGACGACATGAGCGAAATTGATTTTACTTAACAACTTTAATCAACCCGTCGGTCCTAGTGAAGACGTTGTGATAGAGCTTGTAAGCTTCCTCGGCACATTGGGAAGGAATGCAACTCTATGTCCTCTTGATATTTTGGATTGGAGGAAGATGGACACAAAAGAGGATATATATGGGAATATACCAAGGTCTGGACTTCTTAATTATTAATTTTTAGTTGAAAATCTTTAATATTTTCTGCACTGACAGATTTGACACCAATTGTAGGATAAATATGATATTCCCGAAGCTGAGAAAAAATATATTTTGGAATCTGTTCAAGCTGCCTGGAGAAAGCACAAGAGTAGATTGAAAAACGATCACTTTGACGCCTATAAAAATGATGAAGCTCGAATGCAACATATCCCTGAAGATGTTCCACAGTTTAAGGAACTCCTTAGGTACTGGAACTCTGAGAAACTCCAGGTATGTGACTTTTTACTTGTTCTTCATCATCTTCTTCATCAAATCTGATTTTCATATAAGTAGGAGACTGTTTATTAAAATACAAAAACTAAGGATTTATAATAAGAAACAACACATATTAGCTGAAAAACAAATTGATTTTGTAGACAAAACAGTGGATGAACCTTCCCAACATGTGTAATTACCTAGCTACCTAGAGGCTTGAGGTGATCTAGGAGAGAGCAAAGCAGTGAGCGCATGGAGTATACCATGCTCTCCTAAAAGGGAATGTTATATCAAGTATGCAAAGGCAGAAGAAATGGATGTTAAAATAAACATTATGAGATATACTCACAGTCAACACATAGATTTTCCATTTTTCAGTCATTATACGGGCCAACCAGCTTGTTGTCCGAAAGTGCAACCATCAGTATATCACAAGTATGTATATGAATCCCATAATCTAATTATTCAGATAGACATGAAATAACCATTGCTTGATAGTTGACACCAGAATAGAGAGTAACCAGAATAACCATTTCTTCTTTGCATCAAAAAAGTCCCTGGCAAGTGGCATCATCTTGTAATTTTTCGACATGTTGAACATCTTCCTTGACCATGTCAGTAACACGTTGAGCTGCTGCTACTGTTTTTCTTTGCAAGCGACGACAATCCATCTCCTCGTTGCTGCTGTTTTTTCTTTCTTTCAATGTTCTTCCATTTCCCTTATATTGTGTTTAATATATAATTCTCAAGTCCTACTTGTAAGTTGTTATTTGATGTTTCTTTCTGTTTGTAGAAAATGTCTAAATCTAACATTGAGAATCAGAAAAAGTTGAAAAATCCTCACACTGCTGGAAAAAGAAGTTTTGCTTTAGTTCGCTCTAAGTTGGTGTGTAACTAGCAAATCATGGCAAAAAAATTTCAGTTTTAGCTTTTGTTTTGTTCATGGCAGATCAGTAGGAATGCTAACTAACTTTCATGTAACTAGGAAAACGACAAGGAAACTTCAGATCCTTTATCAGCAAAGGAAGTCTTTGTAGCTACAAGAAAAACAAAAGCTGGTTGATCATACAAGTCCTCGGATGAAGATACAACTAGTAAAATTTTGCGAATTATATTTAATTAATGTTATATTGAGATTAATTATTTGTTTCTATTTGCTTACTTTTTATTTACTTGAATTATATTTTTTGAATTTGCTTTGTAGGCTGAAATGGAGGAAATTGAAGCACAACCAAACGAAAATGGCAATGAGTCCGTAGAGGCATCTGCATCTGTCATGGACCTGAACATCCAGGACGTCTGAGATTGTATGGACGGGGGTTACTAGAACTTTTTTGAGAGGGAAAGTAGGATGTTTTCAAAGCTCTTCAAATACTCAAATTCTATACAAAAATTGGAGGAGTAGATACAAAGAATGGAGGAAAAAATTGAGGAACAAAAGGCAACTATCCGTCTAGAAGTTGTTGCAGATGTCCTTGCACGACTTCAGCGTCCAGGAATTGATATTGATGCTAACATTATTCTAGCAGCATTGGGTGATAATTCATTGGGAGAAGCTTCATCTGCTTAACAAACAGCATTGCAACAAATCCATCGTCTATCTACTGGTACCAACAAAGAAGGCCAACTCATTCCAGGTATTAACTCATTGAAAATTTAATAATTTTTGTGAGATCTACTGTCTTAGATTGGTACTTCATGTGCTGCACTTAATTATTTTAACGAGGTTGCGACTGGAGTGATCGTTACTTGAGCAGGTTGAATAATTTAGTTGTGATGTTGTTTTGTGACGTAATAGTGTTCGAAGATGTTAAGGCAGATTGTTGCCCCAAAGATAACAGATTGAAGAGTTGTTTGATATGGTTTGGAGAGTTGCTGATTCTGGTTTGTTGTATGTTGTTAAATATCATTGTAACAAACAGGAGAGTTGAAAATTATACTTATGTATAACATAATGTTGTTTTGAGAAGGTTAAATTTTTTGGGATAGTCATATTTACAAAGTAAACTCTTCCGAAAATTTTAAAAATTTAGAGAGTTAGAAATATTTTGAGTTATCAAATTGGTCATTCAACACTTTGTTATTCAATTATCTTAAAAGTTTCTTTGTTTAATTATTTCTAATTGAATTTTGTAGGTGCATCGATTGCGGTTGAAAGCAGTAATGAAGAACTTACTTGAGTTTTGTTGATCGTTGTTAGAGTTTCCATCATGTTCAAGGATATTTTAGTTTAGAACTTTTTGTATGCAAATTAAAACTCATCTGTTTTTGACTTTTGAATTGTTGATCAAACAATGTATTCATATTTTGTTTTTGTATATGAATAAAGCGAGTTAGATATTTTAATCTTATTTTGTGTTTCTATAAGTTATAGTGTATAAAATTTCATTGCATAGGAAAATATTTCTCATTTTGCTTTCATAAATATTAGATATTATAATAGTGAATTATTGCGATAGACAATATAACCGTTCCAATAGACCTAGCAAACAGTAATAGCAACCCTCTAATAACCGTTGCAATATGTTGCAATATCCGTACAATAGGATACAAATAATTGTTCCAATATATAAAGAATTGTTACAATATATCATGCAAACCGTCGCAATAGACTTAAAAGTCGTCAGTATAATTATAACACAACAGTTTATAACCGTTCCAATACAATAGAAAACCGTTCCCATAGACTAGTCAATGGTTGCAGCTATAACCGTTACAATAGCCGTATACAGAGACGGTTTGCAAACCATTACAAATAACTGTTCTAGTTGACCTATTGTAAAGCTGAATCTCGGAACGCATCATAAACCGTCCCATTAGCCCTACAGAGATGGTTTTGATATCTATAGTAGTGAGCTGTCATCGGGTGCAAACGAGCGATTAGTGCCGAACAAGTCCCGAAGACGGAGCAGCCGGTAACAAGGATTCGCAGCATTGTTATCGGGTAGCATTCTTTGGACATCTATTACAGAGAATATTTGCATTTAAATCCAACCTTATGCGCCCATCAATGACGATTTTATTCTCATTCAAGAGGAGCTTTATTTGAGGATCGTGTCCCCCCCCCCCCTAAATAGGCTATAAATAAAAGGACTAACAATCATTGTGGACACAAGAAACTCTGTATACAAAAAGCTATAATCTATTGTTTATTTGTGCTCAATTTGAACACCTGAACATTGCATTCGCTCACATCACATAAAAGGCTAAGTTCTTAATCAGGCTTGTTATCTCTCTAAATTTCATTTGATAATCTTATTTTTGTTCTCATTAAGTTATCACTTTTGGAGATTCTCTTGTCTATAAACTATGCAATTAATTCAACCGTACCGTTTTACGAGTAAATAGTTTGGCGCCCAACGTGAGGCATAAACAGATGTGTGATTGCTTTGATCCATTCATTTGTTACTAACAAGTTTTGACTTTTTTTCTTAGTAAAAATCCGATATGGCAGCTAATGATGTTGTTGAGTATTGAGATTTTGATGATTACAAAGTTTGTTTAGGTGCAATGTTCGAAAAACCAGGTACTCAACGAAGCTGCTTCACTGTTTTAAGAACCAGCTCCTCAGGACAAAGGACCAGCTTCTCTGATTGATGATTGTACATCTATGCAAGACAATAACTTAATCTCAAAGTTACACAGATTCGAGTTTTCTGGAATAAGGCTGCTACATGTGATAAGGGTTGTTTGCCAAGAAGATACGAATAATTCAGTGAGACACAAGAGTCCCAAAACTTGTGGAGTCCTTAGAACAATAGAAGTCCTATCAAATGAGAAACTGACTATGCATAGGACTCCTAGAAGATCTTGAAGTCCAGGTATTTAAATACTATATATTTTGGACTTCTGAGATTATCCTTTTACACATCAACTGAAGTACTATATTTTTTTCACTCTAGTCGAGTACCAATATTATATTCTTCTTGAGTTTCTAGTGAATATGATTTAGGAAATCGAATTCTAATCAAGTGTCACAAATAATTAGTGAGAGAGAGCGAGAGTTTGCTTTGCAAGTTAGAGTAACTTGTAAATCAAATAGTGTAGTAGGAGTACTGGAGAGTATTGAATTACAGTCTTGTAATTGATATATTTTGGCTTATTTTTCTAGTGGAGTTGAAGTAAAAAATCCTACGTAATAGGTCATGTTTGTTGCACCTCTTGAGTCGGATGATTTTTCACGTAAAAATTGATGTGTTTACTTTACTGCTTATTTTACTTCACATTTAAGGAACACGATAAAGAACTAATTTTTTTAGTAATTCATACAGGCATTCAAACTAACAATTGGTATCAGAGTAGGTTATCTCACATGCACGGCTAACACCTAGAGAGATCTTGGAAGCAAGATGAGTGCTCCACCTAGAATTAATGAATGACAATCAACTACCAGACAACCCTATTCAATGGAAAATATTACAGTTGGTTGAAAATAAAAATGGAAGACTTCCTGACAGCTGAAGATTATGAACTATGGACCATAGTGTACCAAGGTCCATTGACTCCAACTAAACAAAATGCACAAAATAAAACAGTTCCTAAGGACCCCTCTGAATTTGTGGCAGCAAATTTCAGAATGATGGAGATGAATGCAAAGGCTAAGAAAATCTTTATCTGTGGACTTGGTCTTGATGAGTACAACAAAATTTCTATGTTCTCTAATGCAAAGCAGATATGGGATGCACTCCAAATTGCTTATGAAGGAACAAATCAAGTGAAGAGATCAGGGATAGAACTATTTATGAGAAACTATGAGCTCTTCTCTATGAAGGAGTCTGAGCCCATCTAGGAAATGATGACTAGGTTTACCATAATAACTAATGAATTGAAATCACTAGGAAAGGTATTTTCCTTAGAAGAGTTGGCCGACAAGGTTCTAAGGATCCGTCCAACTTCATGGGAATCAAAAGTAACAACGATCCAAGAAGCCAATGAGCTGGAAAAATCTCACTTGATGTGTTGGTTGGAAAGTTAAAGACTCGTGAAATGAAGAAGATGGAACTACACAAAGAAGAACCAAAGAAGGATAAGGCCTTGGTTCTTAAAGCGTCCGAAGAAGATAAATCTGATAATGATAATGCTGACCTATTAATGTTTGCTAAGTTTCATGAAAACTCCAAAAGTGCATCGAAGAGAGAGACCAGCGGTAAGACTGAGCAGATTGACAAAGCTAATTATGATGGGTGCTATAAGCGTAGCAAGCAAGATCACATGGTCAAGCAATGCCCAATGTGGGAAATTGAGTGGAGGAAAGAAGGAGCTAAAAAGGAGAAACAAGAGAAGATGAAAGAAAAGGGTTCCAACAAAGGAAAAATTCTAGGTAAAGGATTCACTGAAGCAATGAACCAAGGCATTCATGGCAGCATATGAGGATAATGGAAGTGATAAAGAGGAAGAAAAGGAGTATGAGGGTATAAGTCTCTATTCTGTAATTGATAAATACCAGGCAGTGGAGACAGAGCCTCCAGTACAGCTTGGAATTCACATTAGAAGACCTCATTTTTTTTATGGACACCACTATGATAAATGGAAGCTACGTATGGAAACGTTCCTTCAGGCCACTAACTTTGACCTACGGGTAATTGTCAGTCATGGACCAATTCTCCTAACGAAAATGGATGGTGACGGTACCAAGTGCAACAAGAGAGAAGAATATGATGATGAAGATCGTCAGCTAGTCCAGAAAAATGCTAAAAAAAGGACCTGCTTTATAGAAGCTTGTCCAAAAATATTATCTACAATGTGTCCTCTTGCATCTCTGCCCATGGCAATGAAGGACCTTGGAAGTTGACTTTGGAGATAAAAACATCGAAGTGGAACTGGTGGCGATTGAAGAAACCCAAACAGAAGAAGAAGTGATAGGAATAATGGCCATGAGTGATTCAAAAACTGAAGATAAAACAAACCAGGTAAGTATATCTAACTTGAAAGAAAACATTCATGCTATGTCTAAAAATAACTGATGGACATAATTATAACCATGAAGAGAATGGATAGAATGAGTGATGGAAATTATCAGTTAATAAACAATCTTTTATATGTCAAACATGATCTCAAAGAGCTTGAATCTGACAAAGCTAATCTAGGGGGATATGTCAAAGACCTTAAGAACAAGGTTATTGAGCTTACTTCTAAGAATGAGAAGTCTCATGATATACATGGTAAGGGAAAAATGAGTGATCTGCAGGATAAGCTTGGAAAGAATTAAAAAGGGCTAAAGATAATCTTTGTGATGCTGAATGTTGGAATAAAGTCTTACAAGAAAATATAGAAAAGGCTAATTATGAACTATATAGACTAAACAAATGGCGTAGATCTTTTGATGCCTTAAATCGGCTGAATGAAAATTGTAGCTCTAACAAATCAGGAATTGGTTGCAGAAAACCTGTTCCCAAGTTTGATCCAAACTATGTAGTAATTTTTAATAATAAAATGTGCACTCATTGTGGAAAGATATGACACTTTAGAGACAGTTGTCCTGCCTTAATTCATGCCCAGTTTTGAAACACTTTTGGTAATGCTAAAATGTGAAGAAGGAAGAGGAGCCAAAAGCCAAGCCTTTTGTCCATACTAAGTGGATTAAGGTTAATAAGAAAATAGCTTCTAATCCTCTTCCCTTCCGGGCAAGAGGAGATCTGATTCATCTTTTTTCAAACAAAAAGGGACCCAAGCTTGTCTGGATTTCCAAGACTAACTTGTGATTTCTGGTGCAGGCTAAAGTTAGGGGGAAAAATCAAGACTGGTATCTACACAGTGAATGCTCAAGATATATTACTGGAGAAAAGAAAAACTTTCTCTCACTGACATCCTTCCAAGGAGGGAGTGTGTCATTTGAAAATGGGAAAAAGGCCAGATAATAGGTATTGGCAAGGTTGATAAGTCACTCTCTCATTCTATATAATATGTGTATTATATGGTAGGCCTTAAACACAATCTTCTTACTATCTCTCAAATGTGCGACAAAGGAAATGAAGTAAAATTCAATTCCAAAATCTGCACTGTCACTAAGCTTGATACTGATGAAGTTATGTTAAAAGGTAAGAGACATAACAAAGTTTACAATATATCTATCATTTCACTTCCATAGCGAGAACACATGATTAAGTAAAGCGGAAGGTGACCCACTGCTTTGGCATAGAAGACTGGGTCATGCCAGTATTTCTCAACTGAACAAGTTGGCAGCAAAGGACTTGGTCCTTGGTCTACCAAAAGTTAAGTTCTCCTCAGACAAGGTTTGTCATTCCTGTGTTAGAGGAAAACATGTAAGGTCACCTTTTAAATCTAAAATAGTTGTAAGCACCTCCAAACCTCTAGAGCTCCTTCAGATGGACCTATGTGGACCAATGAG